ATAAGCAAAAAGAAAAAAGCGGGAAGTGGTGCTGTGGCTCAAGTGGTAGAGCGCTAGCCTTGAGCTGAAGAGCTGAGGGACAGTGCCCAGGCCCAGAGTTTAGGCTCCACGACTGGACCCCACTCCCCCTCACAAAAAAACAAAAACAAAAACAAACCTTACGGTTGTACTCATAAGCTTTTTGAAACAGGTGTAATGAACTACATTGTTTAATCAAGAAATTGACTCTCAAAATAAGGATGACAAAGATTGAGTACAGGGATTTTGCATTGCCATTTTTACATTTATAAGGTATATTTTTACTATATGTTATACTTCAAAACAAGGTTTCCAGGCTGAGAATGTAGCTGCTGTAGAGCACTTGTCTAGATTTAGTCCTTAGTTTTACAATAAAAATGAGTAAAAAAGAAAGAAAAAGCCTGTTCTTTAAAACTGGGAAAATCAAGGTACTACAAAAAAGACAAATTATGTTTGCTGATCTGTAAATGTGCCATGTTGAAACAGCATAAATTTTTACAGTGCTATTGTATATAAATAATGATGTCAGACACACAATTAAGAGATATGGGGAAAAAAAACAATTTTGCTGTAATTTGGTAAGTACTACTTCTACCCATAATTCTTGGACATGGAAATAGTTCTGTTACATACAACTTGCAATTTTATTTTGTTTGTGAAAAATGAGATTAAAAATAAAAATGAGACTTGTGAAAGTTAGATAAAGGAGCAATTTAGCATTTTAAAATAATAAAAAAGTATATTTTGAGCAATAGCCATTACAATTTTTATTCCAAAATTGTGAAAGAATTCCTGCTCTTAAATAATAGAATGTAAATATTTGTTAATCATTTTTATAAAGAACTTTAGTCTAAACCACAGTGGTGAGTTCAAGAATATATAATTTCAGACATATAAGAAATTATTAGTTTATATTTGGGCAACATTATGAAAAACTATCAAATAGTTCTAATAGGTTCTCACATCTTGTGTCCAAAAGGAAACTCCTGTAGATCTTCTTTTCTCTCTTGGTCGACGACGTTCTCGGATTGATTTAGGTTGCGATTTATCTTCACCTTCTTTCTCCTCTTCTTTTTTTTCTCCCTCTGTTAAAGATTACAATAGTGGTAGCAATTTATCTTGAAAGTGCTTTGAAAATATGTGTAAAAATAATTCTAGGTCAGCTTACTTTTTGAAGCCTCCCAAATGTATCCAGTCAGTTAGGTTTTTGATCTTTTTGGTGCTCCTGTACACTTGATATAAATGTGCAACTCTAACTTCTGGTAAGATACATTCCTAATGATCATGAAAATAATTACCTTCATTTTCCTAGTGTCTAAAATAACTTTTCTTGAAATGATAATAACATTTGCTGAATGGAAAATAATGAAATTCTTTAAGAAGAATGGGACTCTAGCTATTAATGTGTGATAGCAAGGTTGTTATATATGAAGTTAATTCTAAGAGGCAAAAAAACCCCAAACAAACATATCAATAGTGAGAGAAGTTATAGGACCCATACAAATTTAAATCAATTTCTTCTACTATTGCCAATACTTACATAATAGTAGTACAATATTTACTTTATTAATATTTGACAAAATTATGGCTCACACTTTTCTGAAAAAATATATTTGTCTTTTGTTAAAAATAAATCAACATATCAATAAATCAATGTTAAAATATAAATATAAAAATGTTAGATTTGTTTCCTCCCTGCAAAGTTTCAAACTTGTATAAAAATATATTAAGGCCTAAGAATACATTAAAAATGTACATGTATGTGGAACATGGGTTTCTATTAAATTAAAATAAAAAATGATTTAAAAATAATAGTCATAACAAAAGAATGGTTAATGCTATTTTTCAATAAAGTTTGATCAAAGATCTAAAGCAGGTGCATGTTGGTGGCTCATGCCTGTAATCCTAACTACTCAGGAGGCTGAGATCTAAGGATCATGGTTCAAAGCCAGCCAGAGCAGTAAAGTATGTTTCTTATCTCCAATAAGCCACTAGAAAACACCAGAAGTGGCACTGTGGCTCAGGTGGGAGAGTGCTAGCCTTGAATAGAAGAGTGCAAGGACAATGCCCAGGATGAGAGTTCAAGCCACAGGACTGAGGACCCCTCCCCCCCAAAAAAGAAGATCTGAAGCTCCAATATGTAATATAAGTGGGTAAAATGGGACAATGGCCCAGGAGGACATAGTGATGAATGGTGGTAGGTGTGTGTTTTATAATAGACTCAGCCAACTGTTAACATGTGAGAATTCAGCCTCAGTGTTGCAATTCGTTTGTCTTTCTTTTCTAGACATGACTTGTGCATATTAAACAAATGACCTACTATTGAGTTACATGCTTAGCCTTCAACCTTTCAAGAAAAACAAAAAATACAAACTTTTTCCTTTTTTTGGTAGTATTTGGGGTTTGAACACAGGACCTCGTGCTTCTTAGAAATGTGCTCTATAGTTCCAGCCCTTTTATTTTAGTTATGATTTTTGATACGGTCTCAAATTTTTGCCTGGGCAGGCCGAGACAATTATTCTACTTATGCTTCCCACTCTAGCTAGGATAATAGGCAGTTACCACCATGCTCAACAATTTTTTTTTTTTTGGGTCTGGTCGTGGGGTCTGAAGTCTGGGCCTGGGCGCTGTCCCTCAGCTCTTCAGCTCAAGGCTAGTGCTCAACCATTTGAGCCACAGCGCCACTTGCAGCTTTTTTCCTTTTTTGCTTATGTAGTGCTGAGGAATCGAACCCAGGGCCTCATGCATGCAAGGCAAGCGCTCTACCACTGAGCCACCTTCCCAGCCCATGCTCAACTTTACTGGATGAGATAGGTGGTCTAATATTTTCCGTGAGCTGCTGGCCTATGGCCTCAAAACTCCCAATGTCTGCAACTGGGATTACAGACATGAGCAACAGCCCCTCAAACCAGTTTATATATAATTAATCCTAGGCTTACATGTTGCTTAAAATTTTTACAAACACTATATAGGTGTCACATCTAGTGGTTTAATGACTGAAATATTTCAATAACCACCAAAAAAAATCTGGAAATTCAAAAAAACTTAATTTTATGACTTACCCTACATGATTACTGGTATTATTATGCTTAATATTAGACTGTGCTTGAAAAGACAAAATGTCTAAAACTAAGAATAATTTTATTTAGTACTCACCTGTGATAACAAGTAGGAATTACAATTTTATTAGGAAGTGTATATTAAATAAGAAAGTAATGGACATGTAGCTGAGAAATCTACTTTCTAAGAAAGCTTGAAAATTTTGTTTTAGCAAAGACATCAAATGTGTTAGGTGATTCTAGTTAAAAACAATTTCATATACAAACAAAACCATTTAAAAATACAATCTACATTACATAGGCAAGAAATAAATAAAAGCACCTGAAAACTGCTACATTAATAAGTCACCCACCAGTTTCTCTACATTCACTTCATAGGTGGACATGAAAATCTTTGTGAGTATTAACTTATAAAGGTTTTTGTATCAACTTCAGACCACAGCAATTGCTGTATCTGTTTTCTACTTTGCTCATGTTCATGCTTGCATTCTTTCTGTTTAGGCTAAGTAAGTCACAGTTTAAGTAATTCCTTTTCAGAATAGGAATACCCAATTTTAAAGATTATTTAAAGAAAACAATGTGTTAAAAATATTTGATCTTCCTACCTCTTTCATTTTCTTTTGTTAATCCTCGGGAGTAGGCTGATGTTATACCTACAAGACTATTTGGCCTGTTGAGTTGACTTGAAGCATACAGTGAACTACTCAAGGAAGAAAGTGAAGACGATGGAGTGGTTGAACTTGAAGTTGATACTGGTCTGTAACGTGGATAAGTCTGTGAAACATTAAAATTTAAACCTATTTGAAATAGTAAACACAATAAAAAATATAGAATACTAAAAAGTAATTTTCCAATTCCAACTTCCAGCTAAAATTTTTTCATATTTTATAGGTTTTGCTAGCACATAAATCTCTTATATATTTAAAATCATACAAATGATTCATCCCACTTGTTATAGCTCATTAGATATATTACCTCATCATATGTCCTTGAGTACTTCTGTTTATATTCATCCTCTCTAGATGTTTCTGACTCTTTCTTTTCTTCTTGTTTTTCTTTATCCTGTTTTTCTTTCTCTTCTTTTTCTTTTTCTTCATTTTCTTGCTCTCTGGTTCTGGTAGAACGACTTCTTCCTATTGTTTTTTCCGCTTCCTGAAGATCAGTCAATGTCACTCCCTACATACAAAATGGGATAATTATAAGAATGAAGTTTGTTTCAAAAAGAACATTTTTATAATAGACAGATGAATGACTTAAAAGTCAAAGATGCATATTTAGAATTGGTTTGATAACTAAAATTTTGAACAGCAAATTGTATTCATCTGAACTCTGGGCCTGGGCACTATCCCTCAACTCTTCAGCTCAAGGCTAGTGCTCTACGACTTGAGCCACAGCGCCACTTCTGGCTTTTATTTTTCTGCTTATGTGGTGCTGAAGAATCGAACCCAGGGCCTCATCCATACAAGGCAAGCGTTCTACCACTGAGCCACTTTCCCAGCCCCATTCATCTTTAAATGAAAAATAGTCGTACTATATGAGTACATGTTTCTAGTTCAGATAAGGAAGAACCGATATATTCATGATTTATTTATTACATGTATTTATGTTTTAAATTTAAAAAGTTAAAGTTTAATGAAGATTTCAGTAAGAATACTGTTTTTAAAGGTTAGACCAAGAAAATAAAGATACAAAAATGAAAAAACTATATTAAGACAACAGTTCACTTTGAAAGGTAAGAAATGGTTAAGACTGAAAGAGCTTTATACTGTGAAGCTGCTCAAAGTAAAAACACAAAGAAATATGAGTAGAATGACAAGGAGAGAGTAAGAAGATAATTAACTACTCTGAGAGACTTTATTTTTTCACAGTGTACATTAGCTGTTTAATATGTCCAAAAAGAACCTATTTTCCACCCTCTCAGACTTCTAAGTATCCACAGAACTATAGCAATTATTAGATACTTTATATGATTAATTAATTATGCACTTATCAAATATTCTTTGCCAGATATCAAATTAATGAATGAGGGACTAAGAAATAAAACAAAAACTCCTCAAATACTCAAAGAGATACAAAGTTATATATAGGTGAATGTATATACTATTAACAGTGTAACCATAGTGACATCAATATTTTTCAGAGCAAAGTGAAAAAGATTATTTGTATATATTAAACATGTACAAATATTTGTATTTTTACTTGTGTTATACATGTTAAATATACCTGTGTTGATCGTCTAGACTGTCTTGCTTGTCTAGATCTTGCTTTTCTTTGGGATTCAGACTCTTCATCCCTAACAGGAGTGAGGTATGATCTATGGTAGTAAAAAAAAATTAGTTGGAGATAACAATGTCTATGAATGCAAATACATATCAATGTTTGTGATTAAACATCAAGTCATATTTAATGAGTTTAAAGAAAAAAAATCTTTACAAAATGGTTGTAGCCACTCTGAAATTGAAATTCAATAATAAAATCTGATCATTTCTTTTTAGATTGGACTAAATCTAAAAATTATGTAACATACCGTATTCTTAATTTCTTCCTAACTGTGTAGCTCAATTTTTTTTTTTTTGCTGGTCTTGAGGCTTGAACTCTGGGCTTGGGTGCTATCCCTGAGCTCTTTTGCTCATATGAGCCACTACCACTTGAGCCATGGTGCCACTTCTAGCTTCTTCTGTGCGACTTCTTCTGTGATTTAATTGGTGATAAGAGCAGACTTTCCTGCCCAGTCTGGCTTCAAACTGCGATTCTCAGATCTCAGCCTCCTGAGTATGAGGATTATAGGCATAAGCCACTGTTGCTTGGCTCATGTAGCTTAATTTTTAAAACAGGATACTTAAGGAAAAATGTAAAGAACTGAAGATTAAAAAATTTAGCTCTGGGGAAGGTAGAGTGCTTGCCTTGTATGCATGAGGCCCTGGGTTTGATTCCGCAGCACCACATAAGCAGATAAAGCCAAAGTGGAGCCGTGGTTCAAGTGGTAGAGCTCTAGCCTTGAGCTAAAGAGCTGAGGGACAGCGCCCAGGCCTACAGTTCAGGCCCCATGACTGACCAAAAAAAAAAACAACAAAACAAAATATTAGCTCTGTTGAAGGACACAGAAGCATTAAGCAAAAGGCTAATTTACCATAATAGAACAGGGCACAGTTTTTGGTTGATTTTAATGGAAGAAGCTGCCTTACCCCTGCTCCAACACTATCCAAAAACAGTGATAATCTAACCTTTGTTAATATACAATTCTTTCAAGGTTATTTTATTACTAGTTTTGAAATTTTAGTAAAAATTTACCTGTCAGTTCTATTCCCCTTAAGGGGCCAATTTCCACTATTTATTTATAAAAATTTTTTTTTAAAAAAAGGAGCAGGATATGGTAGCTCACATCTCTTAATTTTGGTTGCTCAGAAGGCTGGGATCCAGAGAATCATGGTTTAAGCCAATTGGACTGCAAAGTCTTCAGTCACTTAGCTCATTTAAACCAGTAAAATGCTGGGCTTTAGGTATGTAAGAAGTAATGGAGTACCAGTGGAGCAAGTGAGCCAATCAAGTACAGCGCCCTGAGTACAAACCTAGGAATAGGCAAAAAAAAAAAGAAAAAAAAAGTGTGTGTGTGTGTGTGTGTATGTGTATGCCTAAATACTTTACCAGTACTTTTAAATACAGAACGAAAGGTATAGCAGGTGCTGGTGGCTCTTGTATGCAATCCTAGCTATTCAAGAGGCTAAGATCTTGAGGACTGAGGCTCAAACCCAGCTGGGGCAGCAAAGTCCTCAAAAAAATGAGATTTCATCTCTAAAATAACCAGCAAAAAGCTGGGCTAGCTGCACGTCTAGAGCAGAGTGCTAGCCAAGCAAGCAAGCCAAACAAATGCAATTTAAGGGGTTCAAACCCTTGTACCCGTAGCATAAAAGAAGACAGGTACCAAATTTCTTTCTAAATTTTTATTCACTAGCATATATTCCGAATTCCTTATAATACTGCTTTTAGCCCCCTTTCTGGTTTCCTATTAATTTTAAATGACATGTGGTTCACTGACTAAACTCTAGACTGTCAATGTCTTTGTTCAGTGCAATAATATAGTGAGTAATCCATACTCCAAGCATTCTTGCCATTGTGCTTTTTACTAATGATATAATAGGTATCACATTCCTGTTCATACCTTGAACAAAAAAAACCTGAAAATTCAAAAGGATATCTGCCCAAAGATAAGCAAAGATAAGACAGCCCTCTGAAACATAGCAGCTCACATTTACCTGAGAATTCTTACAAAATTAAGAGTCATTTTTTGTGTGTGTAAAGCTAAGTAAGTTTATTTTCTGCCACCTGCCTCTCTTTATAAACCCCAAACAACTGTCTAGTCCCTTTTCTTTCTTCAAATGCTACTTTAAAAAAAGGATTTTTTATTCTGCTCCTTAATATGACCTTACACATATTGACCTAACAAATTTCTGAGTTTTAAGTACCCTATCTTCTATTTATTTCCTGTATGTCCTTTAAAACTCTAAATTCAATAGCCTATCTTCAAACTCCTTAGAACCACAGGTTTTTCAGAATTCTTTTAAGCATTTGTGTTCATTTTATATGCACAGATATTCATATTTCTTTCCCTTCACACCCAATTTTATGACTCATTATTATCAACATTAACTTCTGTTTTATCTTCCCCTCCTTTATCTCTCTGTTTCTCTTGGCCTCAATTCTTCTATCTCCATATGCTAAATAGGTGGGATTACAGGCAGACACCACCATATTTCCAGTCCTCCAACACCTCTTTTACCTAATAATTTTGACATGAAAATAATTTTGACACATCAAGACACAGTAGGGAACAGGGTGTAGTCTAGTGGTAGAGTCTCTGGCTTTCATCTCCAACTAACAAAAAGGAACAACAAATAAAAAAGAAACAAAGAAAAAAAGAGTAAAGAAAGAATAAAGATAAAAGAAACAAGCCTCTTTTTTCACCCAATTTTCTTTTGTAGTGCTGCCTTTCAAACCCAGAGCCTTGCATATGCTAGCAAGAACTATACCACTGAACTCTACACCTATCTCTATACCTCTACCCAAAATTTTTATAATGAAAAATTAAAAAACAGAAATAGGTTAACACTCATCAAATATCTAAATAAAGGCAGAAAACAATGAGAAGAATTTTATCATGTTGCCTCTAAGTTCTCATTTAGATCTGTATCACAATTTAAAAGGAAAAACACAAAAATCTGGCTTGTTGCCTTTAAACAGTAACACTAAATCTTTCAGAAGCAGGCAATCAAGCCTAAATACACATAACTGCTAGTTATATCAATTTGCCTAGTTCTGAGCTGATGTATACAGTACTTCATTTATTAGCCTGCTGAAGAGATAGTTGTCAACTTCACACATTAATGAACAATGAACAAAATGGAACAAAACAAACAAAACTCAACTTTCACCACAGGGCACACTTATCAGCAGTATTTTAGAGCCTTTACACACCTGCGTCTTTCCCTGACCTCCGATGTGGAGGAGACAGTGCCAGCAGTAGTTGTAGTCAGGGTTGTGGTAGAAGCTGCAGCATTTACAACAGTTGGAGCAACAGGAATGGTCACTGCCGTAGGAACACTGTCCTTTTCTTTTTCAGTACTATCCTCAGCCCACAAACGATTTGAGGTACTATAGCATCATAAGCAGCAACACAAAAAAGAGAAAAGGAAAATAGCTAAACAATGAAAGCACTTTCTAGCAGCTGAAAACATGTGACAACAGGGATGGATTTTTTAAAAACATAAGGCAAGACATTGTTCAAGTCAATCAAAACAGCTCATCCAAAGCTGTTGGCATGAGAAAGTAACATGTTAAGCAGTCTAATTAGGAACTTAATTTTTACCCCGAACATGCATAACTGCTTATTTTTGGAACCAATTTTTGTTTGCAAATAATTTTAACAGGGTAAATAAGAAAAAAATCCAGAGCCCCACAAACTTCTAAACAAAGATGCATGCACATACATAAGCACACACAGTAGACCTGGACGCAAATGTATGTCACTCACCTGCTTTGTGAGCCTGCTGAGGAAGAACCCGTTGTAATCTTTGTAGTAGTGCTTGTGCTGGAAAATAGGCTTTTCTGAAGCCCAGCTGCAGAGGTAACTGTTGGTGTTGATGTGGTGCTTGGAACACTAGAACTAATCAAATCATCTTGTCTTCTACCAAAGGAGCAACTAAAGGAAAGAATCATATCTATATAGGATGTATTTGCATGTGTACTTGATATTTAAAGTCTTATACATTATACGAACTCACAAGACTAGGAAATATCTAAAAAACTGTGTTTCTACATACATATATAGGTATATGTATGTATGTATGTATATCCATCCATCCATCCATCCATCCATCCATCCATCCATCCATCCATCCATCCATCCATCTATCCACCAGCTCCAGCACCAAGAATTCCATCTATAATTTGCTAGAGTTTAGATAACCTCACTTATTTGGTTTTGTATCATCTTACGCTTCCTTCCAAGCCTTTCAATAAAAGACAAAGATGATACAATTTTGTATTTCACATTTTTGGAGTATTTGGGGTCATATGATCATGTTACTCTAAACCTAACAAAAAAACCCTTTGATTAAAATGAAACCCTTAACTTTTGGGAGAAAATGTTTTTATACTGAGTCAAATCCCTAGGAGTAACTTATGCTTATATGGCAATCATATCCTTTATTTTCCCCTAGTTGCTTTTGGTAGGGGACTCAATTAGAGGCTTCTCCCCCTCTCTAATATGATAAAATCAACATTCTAAATGGAGGCATTTTTTATTGCTCTGAGGTGTAGGACAAGTAGAAACTGTCCACATCATAAGTTATGGCTAGTTGTTTTATGAATTACACAAGAATTAAAAGCATGCCAGAGCACATCATTATGATCTTTACATATTGTATCTTTACATCAAGTTGACTTAAAGAAAAGTTAAAGAACATAATAACAACATTGAGGAATCCCAAACCTAACTACCCATGTATTTTAAATCAATACATAAAAAACAATTAAGAACTGATTATTTATTACCTTTTATGGTAAGTGGATCCTTCATTAATAGAGCTATTTTTTTTAAGATCATCTTCCCATTTTCTTCTTGTATAAGAACTACTTGTTCGCAAACTTGAAGATTCTCTGTGAAAAGAACATCCTTCAGATTCTGGTACATAATTTAAAAATAGGATTAAAAAAGGTGTACACTGCTGGGTACCAGTGGCTCACGCCTGTAATCCTAGCTACTCAAGAAGGCTGAGACTGAGGACTGTGGTTCAAAGCCAGCCTGGGTAGGAAAGTCCACAAGACTCTTATGTCCAATAACCTACTCAGAAAAAGCTGGAAGTGGCACTGTGGCTCAAGTGGTAGAGTGCTAACCTTGGGCACAAAAAGGCTTAAGGACAGTACCCAAACCCTGTGTTCAAGCCCCAGGAAAGGCCAAAAAAAAAAAGGTATACACTAATACATATCAGAAGTAGAAATTAGGAATCTACTTTGGAAAAATTCTTTACATCAAATAGTGAATGTAATTATATTTTAAAGACTGTCCCTGAATATAAAGAAAAAATGCTATGATCACAAAATATTGTGATTCATAGCATATCTACAGCATTAAGTCAGTAGCATGGGGAGATACAAACACTTTAATCAGAAAAAATGTGGTCTTTGGAATATTATAGTGACAAAAATAATGGTTATTAAAAGTATAAATATGGCTGGGTGTGGTGACTCACTCCTGTTATCCTAGCTACTTAGGAGGCTGAGATCTGAGGATCAAGGTTCAAAGCCAGCTTAGACAGGAAAGGCTGTGAAACTCTTATCTCCAACAAACCACTCAGAAAACCAGAAGTGGAGTTATGGCTCAAGTGGTAGAGCACTAGCCTTGAGCTAAAGAGCTGAGGGACAGTGCCCAGGCCCAGAGTTCAAACCCACGACCAACCAAAAAAAAAAAAAAAAAGGTATAAATATATATGAAACTGTACTTCCTCAGGATCATGTATTTGGTATTCTATCAGGAAACATCTCTTTCCCAAATCCATATCCTATACAATTATAATGCTCATATATTATCTCTGATTCTTGATAGCAAGGAACAAATGAACAAAGAAAGCACATAATGAGCTCACCTGTTTTCCTTCTCTTCAATATCAGATGTACTGGCTAATCGTCTTGGTATTGTGGGCGCAACATATGCAAGCCGTGTTCCTTTACTATCTTTCTCCTATACAACAAGAAAACAATAAATGAAAAATAATTTTTGGGCTGATTATCAGCTTTACTGAAAAGGTTATTTTACAATGCATAATCACATGGCCATCTTAATTTGTTTTGTAGTATTCCCACAGTTCTTAGCTTAATGTCAAAAAATGATAAAAATCACATCAGATACTACATACACTGAAGATTTGTCTGCCCAAGCTAATTTTTTCCATTCTGCTTAAGTTAGAAAATAATTCAACATTTCTCTAAATATGGTTTAGAGTATGTGGTGACAGTGAGACTGAGAAATTGTTGGTAACATGTAATAAAATACCTAAAAAAATTAAAGAAATAAACAGAAAAAAAAGATGGGGGAGGGAGGGAAGAGCTGTGGAGATGGGGAGGGAAGGGATGGTCAGGGAAAAACAAAGGAGGAGACAACAATGCTCGATAGGAAATGTACACATTACCTTAATCATGTAACTGTAACCCCTCTGAACACTATTTTTACAATAAAAAACATATTAAAAAATTAAAACTAACTTTAACCTCAGAATATCTGATATAAGGAAACAGAATGACAATGCAGGGGGTATGGATCAAAAAACAGGAATTTATATATGTTTAAAGTCTAAGTACAGATCACACAGTAAAAAAAAAAGAATCTAGCCATATAAAATAGCACTGAATAAATTGCAATATACCAATGTAGTGTATTATTAATACTGCCTCTCAAAATATAATCAAAACTACTCACTACAACACGTAGCTAGCGGCTTACAATGTAGCAAACCAAACGCTGGTAAAAGAAAGTGCAGATACTGGGTGAATATAACCTATAAGCATTCACATTCTACAAAAGAAAATGTGTTTTTCAACTTTGGAAACGTATTGAATAATAATGAAACAAACCTACTTGCTGGTAGACTTGTTTCATTATTATTATAATAAATATTATAATATTATTATTCTATTATAAGGAGGACAAAAGATTTTAATTGAAAGTATTCCTAAAGTTAATATTTTGATCAATCACATCTGATCTTCTCAGTACTTATTTAAGTATCTGCCTCACGTAGATACTGTACGTTCTGTATTATGAAAATCATTACACCAGGTGAATTTATCTGATACGATATAGATACCTCATTGAAAATTTATCAGGTTTGACTCTGTTGGAGGTTTTATAAAAACCAGATGATGAAATGAATTACCTTTTCTTTATTATCCAAAGAGGAGGAAAGTCTGGGACTTGAAGCTGAACGTATAACTCCTGCGGTATCTTTTTCTTTCTGAGCTTCTTTTGCTGCTGTGATTTCAGCAAGTGCACCATAACTTCCAGTCTTTCTAAGTCCTAATCTCCAAGATGCAGGTGACTCATCTTTTCTTTCTTCTTCTTTGGGAGAAACTTTTGTAGTTGTAGTAGAGGTTGGAAACTGTTGTTATTGTTTTTAAATAAAAGGGGAGGGAAATGAATTATCAAAACTGATTATTTCTTAATTTGGAAAAGGTAAGTTTACAAATTAAGGCTAAAATTGTAGTTAATAATTTCAGGAAGAAATTTTTTTTACCAAGTATGTTAATGTCTTAGTCAAAAATATAAAAATCAGAAACTGAAAAGGTAATAGATTGCCTTTCCAGAGGTTAGATTTAAGAAAACACACTACACACTTATTATCACACAGGAAAATTATGATGGAGACATAGAAAACAGAAATAAGCACGCAGTAAGGACTTAAAATCATGCATCTTTGGAACCAATGTTTGTATTAAACTTGTTATGTTGTAACCTAATATACGTTCTTGCACATAGAGATGCCTCACCATAGATTTTTCGCCCTTACTGGGCACCAGCACAATGCCAGTTTTGCGCAAGCCCTGCCTCCATGATGCAGGATTTACTGACTCCACCACAGGCATGAGAGAAGCAATGAAATCAAACTAAAGCCAATTGAAATAAGACAGGTAAGGAGTTATAGACTGAAAGCATGAAAACAGAAAAGGGAAGTTAAGAGCATAATATACTGTTTTTTTTGGTCCATTTTAAACAGGGTTTATAGTAAGTTAATGACCTAAAATTGAAAAATGACCTAATCTTTGAAAAGTAATGGGGGCAAGTTTTAATTTTAGCATGAGGAAATCAGAACCAATATAACAGAAACTTTTAAAACTAGCTAACGGAGCAGACAAGAGTATTGCTTATGTCTGAACAAATTATGGCATTTGAACTTTGTTTTGATTATGAAATGCCAACACAATAAATCTGAAAACTGGAATTTTCTAAGTAATGTTTAATACAATAATATCTTAAATTTGTTATTTAATTTTCACACATAAATTGAGTTAGCTTAATTCAAAACTTTTTTATGCACAAATATCAATCCCATTTTTAGGACTTTGCAACAGTCTTAAAAATGTACCATATGCTATCTTTAAATAGTTTACTTCATCAACTTCTAGAATTGAAATGTTTAACCATATCAAAATGTTAATTATAGATAGGTAACTATAGCAACTATCTAGTTGCTGTAAACAAAGACTACTGATAACTTTAAAAAATTTTTGTTTTGTATTTATTGTTAAACTTTGCTATAATTAGTAGGCTTTTCAACTTTAGTTATAGTTCCTATGATGCTAGAGAACTAATTCATGAATAAAATTATTGTAGTTTCAGTAATTAATCTGTCTCAATAGGTTCTATGTATTTCTCGGTTCCTCAGATGCATATTCAAATATCTCAGGATATTGTAACAAAGTCACAGGGGGTTACATTGAATATGTTTTGAGAATCTAGCCTAAACTCCCATTTCCAGCATGAAAAATGTTTCTTTCTCTTCCTTATTTTTCCCTAGTTTAATTTTATTCCACTAAAATCCTTGCTAAACCTAAATAATTTTTTTTTAAGTTATGAAACGTGGGCTGGGAATGTGGCTACCAAGCATGAAACCTCGGGTTCGATTCTTCAGCACCACATAAACAGAAAAGGCCAGAAATGGCACTGGGGCTCAAGAGGTAGAGTGCTAGCCTTGAGCAAAAGAAGCTCAGGGACAGTGCACAGGCCCTGAGTTCAAGCCCCAGGACTGGCAACCACCCTCTCCCCCTCAAAAAAACCAGCTGTGAAACGTAACATCTCTTGGGTGCTACAAAACTTATTACATTGTTAACTTACTTGAACCTAAATTGCTTAATATGTGAGACAAACATCTATTTTTCTCCTTTCCTTTCTTTTTTCTAGGACCTTACTAGGTAGCCATGGCTGGCCTCAAACTCATGATTCTCCTGCTTCAACCTCCAAAATGATGTGCCACCAAAATCAACTATAAACAGTTATTTCGTTTGGCTAAGTAGTAGTGATGTGGGGGAAAAACCTACTGAAACACTAGTATGGTTCCACAGACCAATAAATGCTGAGATCGCTGTAATATTCTATGGAGAATGACAGGCACATAAGCTATTGTTTACTGATCTGAGTTTAAAGGGCTAGACTGTGTTTTGGGTTTTGTAGACCACAGATAATATATAAATGAATGAAAGTGGCTATATTCTAGTAAAAAAAAAATTGAGGGGAACAACTTGGATCACAAAATAGTCTTTTTTTTCTCAACCATTTAACAATGTTAAAACCATTCTGAGCTTGTGGGCTACACAAAAACAGGTAGTGAACCAGTTTTAGCCTACCAGCCATGGTTTGTCAAACCTACCCAGATTCTTCCTGCTCACCAAACCTGAGATGTTTTTCTTCTATGATAAAACAGAAATAATGAATAATACTTACTGTTAAAATAAAAACCTACAGGTAGCCAATATTTAAAACCTACATGTAACCAATTATTTACTAGAGTCTGGCCCTAAGGTTAAGTGCTTGATATGGGTTGTCTTATTTAACCCTTCAACTATCCAGTGGATACTATTATTAGGTACGAGTTGTCAAAATTGAGGTGGTAAACAGCAATTCTGAAATAGGTATTTGTTGCACTGTTAAGATGACATATTCTGCCTAAAATGAATTTGGATTAAGTACTGGTTCAGTGTTTAAAGCACATTTTGATTTTACTTGGTAATAAATAAAGCTTTCTGCAATGTTTAATAATACCTTCTACTTGCAACTTTTCTTCTTTTGTTTACTGTATTTTGACTTTCCTACTTTTCTGATCACTCCATTTTAAGGTTTTTATTCCTTCCTATTAACAATTTTCCCTTTTCTAGCTCTGTAACACAAGCATTTCTCAGTTTGTTCTCTGATATCCCACTTTTCCTTTCTACTTTCTTCTGAGGGTAGGGATGAGGGTCTTTTCTATTTCATCAGGTTAACTATTAATTCTATTTAGCCTATGTTCAAATTTGATATTCTCCACTGACTATAAAATTTCTAGTTCTGAATTTCTATTTATTGGCAAAAGAGTTATTTGACAATAGTAGGACAACTGCTTAGTTAAGTAATAAAGACAGCTCGAGTTTCTTGCCCAAATATAATTACAGGCAAGGAGTTTCTGACAACTTGTGATTAATTCTATGCTTTTAACAGCCAATAAATAAAAAAAAATACTAAAAGATGGAGGAATAAATTTAGTATTCACTGAAGTACATGGAGGTTCTAAAAGTATATTAAATTTTAATTCAATTAAAGCTTGGTGGTATTAGTTACAACATAATAATTGTCTTCAAAATTATGCAGACAAAGCCAGTGCCAGCTACTTAAGAGGCTGAGATCTGAGGATCATGGTTCAAAGCCAAACCCAGGCATGAGAGTCCATTAGACTCTTATCTCCCTCTTATCTCCAACAAAACACTCAGAAAAATTGGAAGTGGCACTGTAGCTCAAGAGTGCTAGCCTTGAGCTGAAGAGCAGAGGGATAGTGCCCAGGCCCAGAATTCAAGCCCCATGACTGACAAAAAATAAAAATAATTATGCAGGAAAATTCTTTCTGGACTATTTCATATTAAAATATATACAATTATGACTTAATGATCATAGGTTCTAACTGAATTCAAGAAGCTCTAAGTTCTGGAATACAGAAGAAAAGAGTTTATTCAAATTTAGTATTTAATGTACCAGTGAAAGCCACTCAGTTTTCCTGCTAAGAATTTATGTAACTCCTTTTCTTTTGGAAGAGTTAGAGAGCAGGATTAAGTCTAACAGTACACAGTTTCAATTTTTTTCTACTTTATGCATTTTTAAATTTATGGATCTGGAGAGCCTGACTGGAGGTTCTAGTAGGGGAGCATGGCTACTCGTATACCCTTGACTGAAGTACAGTCCTCCTCTATCGGGGATGGTTGTCCTTTTTGACCGAGCACGCAGCCTCGGGAGGGATATACATGGAGTGATGAGGGAGAGCCAGATCAGCTGAATCAACCCTGGTGACCAATGGGGTGACAGACGTCACAGCCAGATTGCCCTCAGATACAGTATTTTGTAATTTATATAATCTACATTTGACTACTTTGAGCAAGACTGGCGACATAATAAAATGCAGGGATTTAAAGTCAGTTATCCAATTTATGCAACCCAAATACCATGAGACAATCAACAAAAATGCCTAAAGGCAAAGATATGGCAATTATACTCCCCTGTACAGTCTTTGAGTGGATCCTGAGTTTGAAGAAATAGGCTGTAATAAAATATTACTGGAAGTGCAACTGGGATCATCTGAGCATGTATATTAGTGAATGGAGATAACAGTGCTGTATAAAAATTAGATTTTTCTAATTATAATCACTGTATTGTATGAATAAAGGAGCATTTTTAAGGAAAAATACATATTGACATATTTAGGAATATTTTTATGACTAGTCGGTTGTTCAATGTTTTGAAAAAAAGCTTATATGTATACAGAAGGGGATAAACATGCTCACTGTAATTTATGGCTAGTGATGAGAAAGCTTTATAAAGAGATAGTAGCATTCTAGCTACTCAAGTGTCTGAAATCTAAGATTAATGGCTTGAAGCTAATGAGCAGAAAAGTCCATGAGCAGAAAAGTCCATGAGTCTCCAACTAACCTGCAAAAAGCCAGAAATGCAACAGTGGCTCAAAGGATAGAATGCTAGTTCTGAATGAATAAGACAAAGAACAGCACCTAGGCCCTGAGTTCAAGTCCTACTAGGGAAAAGGAAACTCCTTATAAAGATGACCACACTCACTGGAAAACACTGCATTAGTGGAGAACAGAGACATAAGAGAAACAGAGAGGAATGGAAAAAAAAAATCTAACATTTTGGAAGTACATTTAATCAACCAACAGCTGTCTATCAGCCAACCCAACTGACTTTACCTTTGATAATCCTGTTTTGTGACAGATGAAGAAGATAAAAATGGCATTCAACACCCTAACAACTGAGAAGCAGTGGGGCAAGGCTGCTCTCTGGTTTGTAAATCTCAGTGTTTGGGTTCTCACTGGCATCCCATAGGGGAATCTAGGCACTCTGTATTGAGTAGTAGGAAAGTCTAGATATTGGCTTCTCTCACTGCCTTTTCAGGCCCTACTTACCCATTTGAGAAATTATCAATACACATCTCTATTAAAGAGATAAAGGATATAAAACCCAAGCTCTCAAAATAAAAATTCAATAGGAATAATAAGTACTGTAACCACTGGTTTTCCTATTATGAAAGTCTTTCTTTTTGCCATTTATTTTAACAGTTACAACAATCATTAAGTATCAAATGTAATATCAATTACAAAAAGAATTTTTAAGAAGTAGATTTTTTTTAAAAAAGGTTCAGAGAAAAACATATGTTTTGGAGGAAAAAAATCCTACAAAATTCAGAACTGTTTTAATGAGTTAGTCCAAATCGCACTTAAACAAAACTCATGTATTTTTGGAAAATACAATTTGGCTTACCTTCTTAATAGGTGAGGTGGGTGTCCCTTGACTGGATGACAAAGTAGGTGTTGTAACAGCTACAGGAGCTGCTTGTGTACTACAAGAGTTGGCATTAGTTACAGAAGCCACTGGTTTTGTCTTATCTATTTAAAACAAACAAAAACTGGAGTCACATTTTATTTGAATTTGGGTTCAATGACTATCTTTTCCTACTAGTCTTTACACAGTAAATTCCTTAAAAAATAGTTTTAAGGAGTTTCTAGAAACGTGTTTACCTATATGCTGAAGTAAGTACCAATTAAAAAAAACACAAGTCTTCTGAGAATAAAAGATACAAACACGGGCTGGGAAGGTGGCTCAGGGGTAGAGCACTTGCCTTGCATGCATGAGGCCCTGGGTTCGATTCCGCAGCACCACATAAGCAAAAAGAAAAAAAAGCTGGAAGTGGCGCTGTGGCTCAAGTGGTAGAGCGCTAGCCTTAAGCTGAAGAGCTGAGGGACAGCGCCCAGGCCCAGAGTTCAGGCCCCACGACTGAACCCCCCCCCAAAAAAAAAGATACAAACACAACCAATTCTGTACTTTTAAAATGAAAGAAGTAGGCTCAGCACAGTGGCGCTTACCTACCTATCTATAATCCCAGTAACTGTGAAGGAAGAAATTGAGAGGACTGCAGTTTGAGACCAGCTTGGGGAAAAATACAGTGAACTCCCTATTGCAAGAAATAAGCAAAGTGTTTGTAGTACCCACCAAGTTGAGAAGAAAGTACTGCTGATTTGAAAGTCTGATCTGGGGGAAACACAGAAGACTCAGAAATAACTAAAGTAAAAAAGACTCAAATGTGGCTCAAGTAATTTAGATCTGGTTAGCAAGTACAAGGCTTGAGTTCGAACTCCCATATTGTGAAAACAAAACTCAGGAAAATGAAATACAAACTAAAATTCAAAGAGTTTAAGATTTAAATTTGAATGCATAAAAGCAATGTAACTTAAAAATTAAAATAGCTAACTATAAAAGTTCCTAATGATAAACAGTATTATTGGTGATCTAAAACTTTGGTTTGGTTTGGAAGGCACTGAGTGTGAACCGAGTACCCTGGTATGTGCTAGGCAGGTGTTTTAGTACTTGACCCCATGCTTACATTCCTTTTTTGCTTTTAGTTTTTTTGTAAGGTCTTGTGTGTTTGCCCAGGGTCCATCTTGGACTGTGATTCTTCTGAGTAAGACTGACATCCCAAGTACATGGAGTTACAGATGGCTTGTTGAGATGGAAATCTCATTAACTTCTTGCCCAGACTGGCCCTTCAACCACAATTTTCTTGATCTCCACCTCTGTAGTAGCTGAGACTACAGTTATAAGCTACTTTGCATGGTTGATGGTTATTTATTTTAGCAAATATTGTTGGAACCCCTTTATTTGATTTTAATGAATAATTTAAAAGTGAAACCACAAACGCAAAGTCACACCATTTTTTCCTGCTACCTCTGAAATTTATAGATCATTTGGAAGCAATTAAAATATTTGATCGAGTTTCCATTTTCACCTATTTTACAAGAGAAAGGGTATTAAAAATAATGGGCTTGATAGTTATTTATAAAAGAATTTAATGAAAAGCAGTTTTCATATCAAATAGTTTCCCAAGGAGATAATTTTACAGCGGAAGGGGTTGCTTTTTCAGGTTTGCCACCCAACTAGGTATGATAAACCTTTGTTGACATTGAAAATGTGAGAGTAGAAGTCCTAGTATTTACATGATACAACTGTTGGTATGGTCAATTTTCCTGGTACACCAAAATGATAAAGTACAAAGCCTCAGAGGAACATGTGAAGTCTGAGAGAAACTAAGCAGAGAATAACTGATACGTATAAATCTAAGGAACCAATACAAGGCAATCTGATATAGTTATAGAATTATTATTTATAGAATATCAGAGTTTGAAAAACTATCCAGCTAAGACAGCCCAACTTTTCTCATGTCATAATCACCAACATTTCAACCAAAAGCTGTCAGGGAATTTACCAGTTAGTGATAACACTGGCCTAAGGTTAATGTCTCTTGTTTATTTAAGATAGCTCCTCATCGATGATTGAGCAGTGAATTTATGTATATAAAGGTCTATTATAATGTTGGTTGCAGCACTATTCACTATAAACAAAACATGAAATCAGCCTAGATGACAAATGGATCAAAAAATCATTGTAGATATAGAGTGGAATTTTACTAATCCATTAAAGAATGATATTGAACCATTTGCAAAGAAGTGGAAGAACCTAGAAAAAAAAAAAAAACCCTAGGGTAAAAAACATGTTAAGTGAAGTAAGTCAGGCCTAGAGAGAAAAAGGATGCATGTTTTCTCTCATATGTAGAAGCTAGAATTTACAAATAACAGTACCTTCAAATATTTGCAAAAATAAGTGTGTTGCTGGGTGCTGGTGGCTCACACCTGTAATCCTAACTACTCAGGAGGCTGAGATCTGAGGCTCACAGTTCAAAGCCAGTTTGGTCAGGAAGGTCCATGAGACTCTTAGCTCCAATAAACTACTCAGAAAAAGCTGGGAAGTGGTGCTGTAGCTCAAGTATTAGAGTGCTAGCCTTGAATAAAAAGAGGCTCAGAGACAGTGCCCAGACCCCAAGTTCAAGCCCCAGTCAGGGGTGGGGGTGGAGGGAGAAGTATATCAATACTAATGACATTATCTCATGATAGTTTTTGCATTACCTAAGGAAATGGCACGAATTTAAATGCTATTAGGTAAATATGTACACTGATATTATTTAGATTAATAAATACTTCAATTTTACAAATTATAGGAGCTAACACTACAATGCAGTATATAGTATCCAGAGAAAGCAGTGATCTTTTTTTTTTTTTTGTGCTAGTCATGGGACTTCAAGTCAAGGCCTAGCTTACCCTTCAACATTTGTGCTCAAGACTACTGCTCTACACTTGAGCCACACCTCTACTTCAAGCTTTTTGGTAGTAGACCAGGAGATTTTCCTGCCTGGGCTGGAAAAGTAGCTAGGATCCTCAGCTTCCTAAGAAGCTAGGATTATAGGCCTGAGCCATGGGTGCCTGAAAGCAATTTTCTTGATTTTATAGATAAGAAATTTCAAGTTAAGTAAGTTAGGCAATATATACTTACTTGCATGAATGGATCAGTTCTTGTTCCTAAATATTATACTTGCGGATTTGCATATAATTTGCTTTTATAATTAGATATTTTAATTAGCATGTTATTCAAACACATTTTGACATTAATTGACTAGCTATCTCTCTAGTTCCCAATTTCCCTTACATGATCATCCCAAAGGATATAATAGGATCATGTAACCAAACAATATGAAAGCAATGAAGTAAAATTTAAGTCTCTTAAATGACTATAATTTAGCTACTAGTTATTTCAGACTGTGTTTTACAGAAAAGAATTGTTGGAATGGGGATAATTTAGAAAATGTAAGAAAACTGGGCTGGGAAGGTGGCTTAGTGGTAGAGTGCTTGCCTTGCGATTCCTCAGCACCACATAAGCAGAAAAAGCCAGAAGTGGCGCTGTGGCTCTAGTGGTAGAGCGCTAGTCTTGAGCTGAAGAGCTGAGGGACAGTGCCCAGGCCCAGAGTTCAGGCCTGACGACCAACCAAAAAAGAAAATGTAAAAAACAAAACACATTTTGGTTTACTAATGACCTCCAAATTTGTCCTGATAAAAAGTTTTTCAATGATCAAAAATATTAATAGATATAGAATATTTTTTCCTGATAAAATCTGTTGAAATGATAGTTTTTAAATTTAAAACATGAAAATATTACTATTTCATTTAATTCAGAATTTTGAGCTATTATCTGATACAGGTTAAAAAATGTTATTCAATAAAAGCAACTCGTCTACAAAAATCTATAAAAACATACAACCAAGAAACACAAAGAAGCTACAACCTTAGTAGCAAAAAGAAATATAAATTGTTATAGTCATTTTTATAAAACAATTTGATAGTATCTATGAAAACTGAAAATGTATGCATCTTGTGACTAAATGATTCAATTTCTAAGTACATTAGAAAATCTCTTGCATATAAACACAAAAGACAAGTGGCTCATGCGTGTAATCCCAGCTATTCATGGTGGCTTGATGTTCAGGGTCAGCTGGGAAAAAGATTTAGTGAGACACTACTCCCACCAGTAAGCTGGATGTGGTGGTGCATGCCTGTTATTCTAGCTATGTAGGAGGTAATTAGGATTGCTGTACAGGCTAGTCTGGGCTTTTAAAATGTGTATTATATTAGAAATAACAAGCAAAAAAGGGTTAGAAGGGAAATGTATATTTGATGAAATACTAAGTAACAGTTACAGGGATAAATTACATTGAAATAGGTTCACTCATAGGTGAACCTAAACATTAAATTTTTAATGAAAAGAAGCAGATACATAACAATTCCTAGAATATAGAATTAAACACAGAATCAGAAAAGCTGTATATTACATGTAAAGGCTAGAAGATTACAGAGAAAACTAATGATAATGACGGTGTTTTGAAAAGAAGAAAAGAAATTAATAAATTTTGGTAAAAGAAAACATGGTAAATAACATGAAAACAGCAACTATTAAGTTTAAGTCTTAATAGGCTAAATAGGTTTTTTTTTTTTTACATTATATATATTTCTACACATACATATTTCTCAACATCCTCACAGGAAAACATCTGACTCAGCTCCTACTTATCATTTCTTAAAGGAGAAATTGGTATGCTGTTGGGACCACCTTCCTAAGATTTTGGGCCCCAGAAAGCAGCAGCAGGAACATCTTGAATTGCTGATAAGTCATTCAGAGTCTATCTGTCCCATGTACGAGAATCCTTACAGGAGTAAGGGAGTCTCAGAAGCCTCCACACCTTCAAATCTAAAATATAGGTCTGCAATGAGTAAAGCAATACAAGAGCCTCCAAGTGATTATCAGATATACAATTCACTAATACTCACTGAATGGTTTAGAAGGTAACCAAAAAAAATGTACCAAACCTATCTGAAAAGCTTAAAAACCAGGCTTGTTCTTGTATTATTTAAAAAAAATAAAATGCAACAGAAATTAATTTATCATTCAAGTTTTCACCTGTTTCAGCTTCTGATTCTGAGTCATCTTCCTCATCTTCTTCACTAGAACAGCTAGATTCATCTTTCTTTCCTTCTTCTTCATCATCAACCTTCTCTTGTTCCAGAGATTCAATACGTGAAGCATTTTTCTCTGGTTCAATTATCAGTGTCTCTTTACTGTGAAAGGAAAACAGCATTCAAATTATTTTAAACACATAAAAAGTGTGTGAACACAGTTTCCTTCAGATCTGCAACACTAACAAAATCTGATTTTCACATTTTACTTACTTTTTAAAGGTCTTCTGTGATTGATTATTATCCATATTTGCAGTCGATTCAATCAGTGGAGACTTCTTATCCCGTTTTTCACTATGGAGCTTTATATAAAGTCATACAAAGGAAAATAAGAATATTATTAATAGGTAAAACATACTTTGAAATAACATAAGTATCTAAACCCTAATGTAAAAGCAGATAAATGATTTAAACTTTCACTGCCAAGAAAAAAATCTGAGCAAAGAAAAAAAGAAGACTAGATTAGTAAAAAGCTCTAAGCCAAACCAAGTTGAACATAATTTTTATATCCCTCCAAATAGTAAAGACCCATTATCTAAATAGGATGGCTAATGGCTTTTTTTTTTTTTTTTTGCCATTCCTTGAGCTTGAATTCTGGGCCTGGGCACTGTCTCTGAGCTGTCTTTTGTTCAAGCTAGCACTCTACCACTTGAGCCACAGTACTAACTAGAGATAAGAGTCTTACAGCAATCCTGAAATCTCAGCCTCCTGAGGCTTGAGCCATTGGCACCTGGCTGGCTAATGGCATTTTACTTATATTTGTTTCTTCGTTATTTAAATCCTTATATGTTTGCTATAAGAAGTCTGGGATTTTACAGTTTATACCTTCTAAGTAACTTTACTTATGAAGTTACAAATACATGATAGTCTTGAGAATATACATATTATAGTTATCCATTTTGTGAGGAAATAGCATTAAGGATAGGAAACATTAAAGGTTAAGTATCATCACTACTCATTTACAGTCTTCCACTGTTATTTAACATGATTGCTAGGAATAATTTAAAACAAAAAAGTACAAAACTCCCTAAGAGTGCTTTTTAAGTGTTTGAAATGCAAAAGTATTAAGAGAATTCATCCATATAGGCAAGATTTAGGCATTCATCAAACATACCAGATTTTGTTTCTTTTGCAACTCTTCTAAATATCCTAAAATGTCTTCATCTGCTACATCAAAGGCTGTTTGGCCCTACACAGAAAATAAAGGCAGTGATGTTAAAGAGACAATAAATCATAAAATGTTGCAGTAATTCAGAATGATTATGTGGGGAAAAGTTAGGTAGCATTTTTAATGGAAATTTAGATCACATGATACATCAATTCCGAAGGCATGTATGAGAGACCCAGGTGAGAAAGAAGCAGATGAGAATGCTCATTCACTCACCTCACTCATTCATTTCTAAACAATATGAGTCAATGTTCTAAGTATAGACACAGTAGGACAACCACTACCATAAGAAATTTAAAAATTTTTCATCCTCTCATGTCCTTGAGCAGATACTCTCCCTCCCATTTTCTCATTCACCCTAGACCAAGGCAATAACTAACCTACTTTGTCTCCATATATTTGCTTACTATGTTGAACATTTCATCTAAGTGGAATCTTACAATATACACACTTCTATCACTTTGAATGTTTTAAGGCTCATTCACACTATGATATAACTTCTTCACTCCTCTTTACTGACAAATAAGAATCTACTGAATGACATGAACATTTTTCTAATTTCATGAACAGGTGAACTTTTACTTTATGCCTATAATAATGTTGCTATGTACTTGATGTACAAATTTCTGTGCAAACAATTTTCATTTCTTGGCTGCACTGCTTATAGAATTACTGAATCACGTGAAAGCAGCAAACAACTGAGAATACAATGAGGAAGAGTGAGACCTTCAAACTAACCAGTTAAGAGTTAAAAAAAAAAAAACCGCTCCTAGGACTGCCTTAAAAAGTCAATTCAGTAAACCCATTAACCTATAAATACACTAGAGCCATTTTTCTTAGCTCATTTATTCTAAATGAATTGCTTTTATAGACATCATCTTGTATAGTTGATGAGACCAAAGGGTTATTATGATTTTCATTATACAAATGAGAAAACCTAACTTCTGATGATATGAGCCTAAGCCCCTAGGTGTCAGCGTATATATACCACACTTTCTTGATCCATTCATCTACTGAGGGGCATCTGGGTTGGTTCCATATCTTAGCTATGGTAAATAATGCTGCAATAAACATAGTTGTGCTGGTAGCTTTAGTATGGTCATGTTTGTGATCATCTGGGTAAATGCCCAAAAGTGGGATTGCTGGGTCATAGGGGAGCTCTATGTGGAGTCTTCTGAGGAACCTCCATCTTGACAATAATATTAAATTAAAAAAATTCCAAGTAGAAAAGCACTCTTGTTAATATTAAGGTATGTAATATTTAGATACATTTTACTAAAGTAATTTCTTTTAGTCAGCTAAAAAAGTGAGATAAAAACTATTGTTTCAAATCACTACCAATTTGTAAGATAAAATGATAGTAAATGTGTTTGACAGTTTGCAAATAAAAATGAGGCAAAAAACTCTAAATACCTTTTTTCAGAAGAATTCTTCACTTTTCATATAAACTTTCATATTTTATAAAGGATTTTATATATTTTCGATGCTATACATTATTTCCTCAAGTCATGTTTCTTATTATTAATGAATTCATCAAAAGTGAGGATGAAAAAATAGTATTTTTTAGACAAAAGTACTAATGAAGGAATAAAATAATAAGTTCAGGCAGGCTTACACAATTAATTGGTAAGGATTGACTTATGTAAAATGTTTTCATAAATAAAACTGCAAAGGAACAGGAGAAAAAAGAAAAAAACTTTCACTATCAGGACTTTGAAATTATTCAACTTCTCTGCAAAATACTTACATAACTTCATATGGTTATTAGAAGGGTAGCATTAGATAATATGTGTAGACAAAAGGTTGAATACTGTCAAATTCAAAGTAATTTTGAGGCACAATCCTCTCTATGATCAATCCACTAAAATGACAGAGTAAAGTGGTAAGGTTATAAACTGAGGGTGATGCTGGGTACTGGTGGCTCATGCCTGTAATCCTAGCTACTCAAGGAGGTTTAAATTTTAGGATTAATGATGGAAGCCAGCGGGGCAGAAAAGTCAATGAGACTCTTATCTCCATTAAATCACCAAAAAAGATGGAAGTGGAGCTATGGCTCAAAGGTAAAGTGTTAGCCTTGGGCAAAAGCTCAGGAACAGTGTTAAGGCCCTAAGTTCAAGCCACAGGATTCGTATTTAAAAACAAAAACAACAACAACAAAAAAAACCCAACAAATCCAGAGGGAAGAGGTGACACTGTTCAAAAAGAAATGTATTCATTACCTGACCTATGTAACTGTAACCCCTCTGTACAACATCTTTACAATAAAAGAAAAAAGGAAAAGACAGGAATGGAGGAGATTAGAATTCAGAGGTTAATAGGTATCCATTGATTTCTTGAGAAATATCCTAATTGCAAGGAGAATTTCTACATAGAAACAAATGAAACATGAATTCTACCTAAAATCATCTGGCATTTAATTTGAAATTACAATTAAATAGTGCTAACATTTGTTTATTGATTACAAAGTTACTGTAATTAGAAACAAGAGAAAGCAGGCTGCTGAAAGTTTTGACCTAAACTTCAAACAGAAAACTGTACTTATAAGTACAAATCTCTAATTTAAGAAGAATCATTCTCAAACATTTCCCTTGACTTTGAAGATCTTTCATTACATCTTATCCTTTTCTTGGCTGTACATGTCTTACACAAAATATATCTTAGGATCAATTATGAAAATACATATGGCAAAAGAGGTCAGAGGCCTTCTTATCTCTTTATGTCAGCAGCTAGGGCATAATCTGCATTGTTACCCTCAATCTTCAATCATTTATTCATAGCCAAATCCTAGGCATCTATGGTATGCCATATTTACTCTAAGCTACAAATGATTAAGCTCACTAGAGCACATATGTTTTGACCTCTTAACAGTTGGTAAATGCAATTTATTTACTAACCTGGGTAAGGATGAGACTAGCAAGAAAATTGGCTACTCTGGTAACATGACCCATAGTATTTCAAAAGGAGTAGAGAAGAAAAATCTAATCTAATAATAGAGTTGATATTTTGAATCTTTTTATGATTTTCTGAGAAACATCTGTATGACATTTGTTTCTTCCTTTACCCCAATTGTGAAATGTTAACTAGTTAATTCACGAAACTGTTTTCTCATATGCAAAACTTAAGAAACTAGAGGTTGCACTGTACTTGTTATAAAACTGTATACATTTTACCTTTCTCATCTCACTACCTTTTCATGTACCTATGAACAGGTTAATAAGAATATCAGCTAAAGGGCTGGGAAGGCGGCTCAGTGGTAAAGTGCTTGCCTTGCATGCCAGAGGCCCTGGGTTCGATTCCTCAGCACCACATAAGCAAAAAGAAAAAAGCCGGAAGTGGCGC